ATCTGCCCAGTTTAACCCTTTCCAGGATGAATCTGTTTGTTTTCCTAGCAGTCCATGGTACTCTCCATACTCTGAAAAAAAGTAGTGTTAGACAGTTTTGCTTGAGGGTACCATGAGTTGGAACCAAATGGGTAAGGAGTTGTGCCATAAACCTGAAGGCAGGTAGTTCAAATCCATTCAGTGGATGCGCCACTGGATAAAGATGGGATATCTAATTACATGTGAAAACTCTTCAGAGGATCAGCTATGAGTCGGCTCCAACTAGACAGTAATGAGATTTTTTTTTAATAACAACAGTAAGATGGATTGTCACAGGGACTGTAACAATGGGCTTGAACATGATGGAGATTGTGAGGATTGTGTAGGATTATTATTACTGTGCAATTTCTATGTGTTGTTTATAGGGCTGCTGAGTTCATAGTACATTAACAATAAAATAGTATACTTCATAATAGTATAACTTGAATTTCAAACTATTTCAGTAACTGAATTGCAATCTAGCTGGTGATTTTCTTTGTATTTCTACATATTTAACTTTTTCCAAATATTTTTCTTTCTTGTCTTGCCACATGACTGCTTGGTGACATACTTGTTACTATTTGGCTGGCTGTCCTTGGGTAAATACCTTCCTTAACATTCAGTTCTCTTACCCATAAAGTGAAGGGATTGGCTTATTAGATAATATCTAAGGGCTCTGCCAGTCAAGTGAATGATATGATTATGTGCATTTCATTCCTTTCATTGTTCTATACAGCTGAGGAGTCACTCAAGGACAGTGCAAACTGCTAAAATAACACTTTTTAGCTTGTTATTCTAGCCTTTATAATATGATATAAGATGTAATTGATCTGATTCCTATGCCATGTTTTCCAAAGATTCTCACCACTGGGCCAATTGGCAGCATCATGATAGATGGTGAAGAGGTCAAGATTGTTAACAGCTTTAGTTTGCTTGGCTCCATAATCAATACTCTTGGCACCAGCAGCCAGGAAAGAAAAAAGACTAATTGCATTGGGAAAGTCTGCTGTCAGATACCTCTTCAAAGTACTAAAGAGTAAAGATGTCAATAGGAGACTAAGGTGCGCCTGATGCAGGCCATGATCTTTGCAATTACTTGATATGCATTGGAAAGTTGGATAATGACTAGGGATGACAGAGATATTGAATATACGATGGACCACTAGTAGAACAAACAAGTTCATCTTAGAGCGGGTGAAATTAGGCTGCTCCTTGGAGGCAAGAATACTTAAGTTTCATTTGACATACTTTGGACACATTGCAAGGCAGGACCAGTCCTTGGAGAGGGATGTCATGCTTGGGAGGGTGGAAGGACAGCGCAGGAGAGGAAGACACTCGTTGAGATGGATTGATTCAGTGGCTGGGGTAATGGGGGTAGGTGTGTCAAGGACAATAAGATTAGCACAGGATAGAGCAAGTTTTAGGGCTGTTATGAGATCAATATGAGTCACAGGTGACTCGACAGCACATAACAACTACAACAACAAGATATAATATAAAACTTCTACAGATATGTAAAACACATATGTTTTACATGAAAAACTAGAGACAACCTAAACACCCAACAGTAGGAGATTGGTGAAGTACATTAAAATATGTCCACATGATAGGACACTAACAGCTATCTGTGTGTTACTGCAGAATCATAACATGGAAAAATAACCACAGTATACAATTAAAGAAAAAAAAGCCATTTATATTCTTGGAGATCAACAGTCATGATTTTATTTTTATAAAAAATGATAGCTAAATGTGCATTGGGGGTAAAGAAAGCAAAAGAATATATTCTAACAGTGGTTGTAAGTGATAGTATTATGGTGATTTGCACTTTTTTCTCCATGAGAAGCCAAAGCACAGGGAAGAATTCAAGATACTAAAGAGTTGAATAGAAGATTTCAAAAGGCAGCACGGGATGACAAAGCAAAATATTACAATGAAATGTGCAAGGAGTTGGAGTCAGAAAATCAAAAGGGCTGAACTCGCTCAGCATATCTTAAGTTCAAGGAACTGAAGAACAAATTAAAACCTC